GTTTTTTTTGTTTTGCCCCCCCCCCCCCCCCCCGCAAATATTAGTCGAGAAAGCTAAAGACATCACAGAGAATTCTATTAGGATAACAGCAAAAAAAGAAATTAAACATCAGCAAAAATTATAACAATTGTTACAAGTCCAGTATGGACGATTTAGTGGTAGTCGCTAATGGTGTAGTAAAGGCACTCCAATATTTACCAAAATGAAATTGATTTTGCTGTACAAGGACAATGAAATACTGCGTAGGCTTCCTATGTTTAAGGTCAGTAATGGCAGTTTTGCATAATTGGCTGTTTGTAGTACTTCAAAGCGTTAGATGAGGAAATCTCTAGGTCGCTTACATTTGTTTTAGTGACACATATATATACTCTGACCATCGCAAACATCACAGTTTCTCTAGTATTCCACAGGTTGGTTAATCTGATGGTGGCCCTTAAATAATGGAAAAGCTGACAGGTCACCAAGTATTTATTTAATTGATGAGAATGGCTTTAATTGCATCTTTATCATGTTTGAAGCCACGTGTTCCTGTGATGCCATGGTGACTTCTTTCCTACCAGAAGCTACAGGCTTGATTGATAAATGCCAATATAATAGATTTCTGCAAGGGCTGCGACTTTTGGGGATATTTCTGTTCCCTGCCCCCCCCCCCCCCAAAAAAAACCCCCCCCAAACCTCCCAAACAAAAAAAAAACCATGTCATGAATGAAGGTCTTACATAGCCAGATGTCAAGGTTTGAAGTGAATGTGTTTCTGTCTTTGGGTTGTTGCAGAGGGGAAGGGTGGTGGCAGGGAATACAGGAGAATTGCTTTACTTTGTTGAGGTTGATTTTGAAATACTAATACAATTCTAGTTTAAACAGCTTATAATACATATTGGGGTAAAAAAAAAAAAAAAGGATTGGATTGAACAGGTAAATATGAATAATTCTGTAGTCTCAGTGCAAGATGTTTTCACCAGTCCTGGACTCTGGCTGATTTTACTTATCAAAGACAAATTTGAGAGGCTGTGTGTAACTACGTCCATTTATACTGGTGGTCTTTCTTGCCAATTTCTGAACTACACTGAAGAGAAGCCAGAAAGCAGTAACTGGAAGCTTAAATTTGGTAACCTCATTTGGGGTATTTAGATGTTAATCACAGCCATTAGAACACACATATTAACTGTTAGAACAAGCTACCAGAGGAAGTGATGTTGTCACATCTAAATTGGTGGTATCTTGTGGGGAGTTTCTTTAAAGCATAACTGATAATTCAGCTCGAACACAAAAGAGAAAAGATTTATTGTCTGGTCTTCAGGTTAGATTGAAATCAGGCAATTGTTTCTTTTAAATTCTACGAATCTTTGAATAACACGATCATTCCCTGTATTACTGCTCTGCACGTTGCTGATGCTTTGCCGCACGTTCCTACTAGTATAAATACACTGAAATGTCTCGCTGTCGATACCAGTTGTACGTTCCAGAAAAGCTTTATAACTGTAAAAGCAAATATGGGAACAGACTGTATTTGATGGCACCTCCATCGCTGCTTTTTAAAGAGCAAGTTAGCAGGCATCAGGAGTATAGGTTAGTTTTTGCTATCTCCTTGCATCAAACCAGGATCAATTTAAATGATTTCTGAGGACAGTTTTAGATCTATATCCTACAGGTTTTTTAATACTGTATTTGCAATAGCTCTGCATAGTGCAAGGTACGATTCTTTTAACTTGCTCAAGTAGCAATATTACCTGTAATGCGATGGCAAGAGCTTATATATGGTCTTCATTACAGTGAGCTTGCAGTACTTATTTCCAGGTCTGTTACCCTTTGTATTTTTCCTGTGTCTGTTTCTGGTCACGAAGTTTGTTATTTCAACAACTTAAAGTGGAAACTTTGTAATACTCAAACTGTATAGTTTCTGTAGCTTACTGTTTGAGCTTTCAGTAGTATGGAAACAGTGGAAGAGATAGAGTAGAGACTGACAATACAGGTAAGAAAGCAATTTAAATCGTAATAACTAGCCTGTGCTACTGGAATGCTTGCCACTGGAGTGGAGTCACTCCGAAATCTTTCAGGCAGTGTTTACGATGGCGTAAGTCTGCAGGATGACCTGCTTTACAAAATTACTCAATAGCTTACAGTTCTTGAAGTGTGTAGAAAAGTAGTTCATGACTTACACAGCTGTAGTGAAGACTTGTAACCATTGAAAGCACAACTCTAAAAAGCACAGCTAACTAACTTTCAAATGCTGCATTTATTTCATGGGAACACAACATGTAATATACTGGTCAGTATTTATCCCTGTTTATTTTGCTACTCCTTTGCAATCAAATCTAATGATTTTATATTTATAGTTGCTGCTATTTAAGTCGAAGATTAAATCAGCTATCAAGCCATGATCCGTTGTGGAAGAGACACTGCAAGAAATACTGGCTTATTTCAGAGTAAGTGTGGTTGTTTTAAGACTTTTTTCTATGAAGATGAGGCTTATGTTATTGTGATGTCTCTATGTCCATGTTACTTCTAGTAACTCTAAGATTGAAGTGGTATTCACCAGCTTCTCACCAGCTTCAAATCAGTGAAAGGTTAGAGGTATCAAAAATGTTAATTTCCTAAAAAAGCTTCATGAATGTAGAAGCGTTAAAAAGTTTCATGGATGGGTAGAGAAGAGGTGCCCTGTTAATGCCTAGGCTGAAGGAGAAGCTGCAACTTGACCTTACCAGACACCAAATATTCTATATAGGAAAGTAGTATTCCAAGTTCTGTAATTATGAGGGGTACAACTCGATGGTTGTGTCAAGGGTAGCCAGGACTGGAATCATAGAATAGTTGAAGTTGGAAGGGACCTTTTGAGATCCTCTAGTCCAACTCCCCTGCTCATGCAGGGTCACCTAGAGCAGGTTGCTCAGGACTGTGTCCAGTGTCCTATCAGTGGGCACTGCTGAGAAGAGTCTGGCTCCATCTTTATTCCCTCCTATCAGGTAATTGTATGCATTGATAAGATCCCCCCTGAGCCTTCTCCACCTCACTCAGCCTCTCCTCATGTGAAAGATGCTCCAGTCCCATAATCATCTTTGAGGCCCTGCACTGGACTTGTTCCAGTATGCCCGTATGTTTCTTATAATGGGGAGCCTAGAACCGGACACAGTACTCTAGATGTGGCTTCACCGGTGCTGACTAGGGAGGGAGGAACACCTCCCTTGACCTGCTGGCAACACTCTTCCTATTGCAGCCTGGGATACTGTTGGCCTTTTTTGCTGCGAGGGTGCGTTGCTGGCTCATGGTCAGCTTGGTGTCTACCAAGACCTCCAGGTTCTTCTCAGCTGGTCAGCCCCCAGCGTGTACTGGTGTCTGGGGTTATTCCTCTCCAGGTGCAGGACTTTCCATTTCCCCTAGTTGAATTGAAGATTCTTCTCTGGTTGTTGAGGTCTCTCTGACTGGCCGCACAACCATCTGCTGTATCAACCACTCCTCACAGTTTTGTAGCATCTGCAGACTTGCTGAGGGTGTACTGTCCCATCATCCAGGTCATTAATGAAGGTATTAAATAGTATTGGCCCCAGTGTGGAGCCCAGGGGAACACCACAAGTGACTTGCCTCCAACTGATTACCCTTTGGGCCTGGTCGTTCACCCAATTTTCGGGCCACCTCACTATCTCCTTATCAAATCCATACTTTGTCAGCTTCTCTGTGATGTTATTAGCAGAGAGACAGTGTTGAAGGCTTCGCTAAATTTGAGGTAAACAACATCCGCTGCTCTCCCCTCACCCATCAAGCAAGTCGCCTCATTGTAGAAGGCTATCAGGTTGGTCAAGCATTATTTCCCCTTTGTGAATCTATGCTGACTGCTCCTGATCACCTTGTTGTCTTTCCTGTGTTTGGAAATGCTTTCCAGGAGGATTTTCTCCATCATTTTCCCAGGAAAGTCACGTTGGGCTGCGTAGAAAGTTTTACATACATGGTTCTTGAGGTGTTGCGATTTTTTAAAAAGCTCATTTTCTGTTCACTTGCTTGCATTGAACTCAGGATGTCTGTTAAGTGGAAGCTAACTATAAAGGTAACAATCCACATCTTTGCTGAAGAAGCATGTTTTTCTCGAGAGCTGAGAAAGCTTGTGGAGTTGACTGAAGTGAATTAGCAACCAGTTTTGTTATTTTTTATCCCCTCTTTGTGTCCTGTTTTCTAGACAATATCTTTTTATATTGTAAACTGTGAGGAGTATTAACTACTTATGACTTCAAGGATCAGATCCATGTATTTTTCCATTATTCAGGTTATGCAGGCGCTCCTTGTATTACACAAGTAGCCTAAGGTGGCAGAACAGCTAGTGATAAGGAGTTAATATATATGCATAAGTGGGTGGAGAAGGTAATTTAGAAAAACATTTCCAAGCTTGTAGTTTGTAATCTATATTGTATCATACAGACTGTATTAAAAATTAACAGCAAGCAAAGTTGAATCCACTAAGATAAACATACTGTGCACGTTCTAATTATATGCAGCTTATGAAGATACAACACAACTTCTAAAATTTTGCCTTGAGATTCTCTGCAAAAGAATCTAAAAATCCTAAGCGATAGTCTTACTAGAATCCAAACTAGAAAGGAAAATCTGGTGGGAGATGGGGAAAGAAGGTAAGGAAGTGGGAAGTTCAAACTGAGTACCTGATGCTTTAGAAGAGGAAGTTGTTGTGTGTATGGGTGAAGATGAGGGGGTTATAGAGCTTTGCTAAGGAGAACTGGCTCTGGGGTTGGCCTCTCAGATTCTGGCTTCTCTATTGCCAAGAAAAACTGAGTAATGAAGGCTGTGGGTAATTTCTACAAATAACATTTGGAGAGTGAAAATATGCTGAAACTTCTGTCAGCTGCTGAGACGTAATTCACTTTGGGGTTTTTTGCTTTTAACCTCTTTGGTTTGACATTAGTTTATCTAATTTCCCAGATTAAACTTAATCTACTTTTTCCCCCCTCCATTCTTCTTCAAGAAGTAAGGTTCTTCTCTCCTTTTTAGAGCTAAAGATGATCTTAAAGGTGATGTGATGACTTCTCAATTGTTACATTTTTATTTAGTTGTATGAAGCTGTACTAAATCTTTTAGATTCAGCATGCTGGCTGGAGTTTGAGGAGTTGGAATATATCCTAACGCAAAGATGCAAGGGCTGCTACAATTTGGAGTCAGGCATCCTTTGTCAGATGTTAGTCAGCATTTTTTTGGCAGCCTCTCTTCGCATAGCCTGCTGTTGTGCCTGTGAGGAGAGCTGAATATGCAGTAATTCCTTAAGAAACTGACTTTCCAGATCATTGCACAGAGTTCTCATTTAACTCTCTAGTTTGCTCCTTAATCCTTCTTATTGGGTAAATAAAGGAGTTTGTGACTAAGGCAGTAGATCAAAAAATGTGATTTTTTTAAAAAAAATTTTTTTAAAGGCCTTCTCTGTGTATGTGTGAAATGTGATGTGAATTAGCTATTCACCAGTTCTAAGATTTAATAATAGGCAGCAATCTGTTTAAAGGAGTACTGTTCCTAAATTTTCCCCTGATACCAAGTACCCCAAATGTTTCCCAATTCTTTTCCAAGTAGCTGTTGAATAGATGTCAGAATTAATTGAGTTTGTGTGGCTTCATGTGGCTCAAAGCGTTCCTGGCTTAATATTATGCAAGCTGTTTCTGCCAAATAGCAAATATTAACTTCTTGGGTTTAGAAGTCAAGCTTTTTGGGCTGGTATTTGAACTTATTTTCTTCATGTCCACTTAGAGAGGAAAAAAGTCAACGAAATCAGAGCTGGAAAGCCATCTTCATCAGTACTTACTCTGACCTAGGAAGATATATCCGATACTATGCTACATTGAAAAAAGCCTGGGACGACCTAGAGAAGTACTTAGGACAGCGGTGTCCTCGGATGATTGGTTCTTTGAAAGGTAGGTACAATGTAATACCTGCTTTCTTTAGTAGGTTGGCTGACGTGACATTATCGGTGTGTGCCTCAGTTACTGGAGCCCTGAAAGTCAAGTAGACGTGCTTTCCCTTCCCCTCCAGTAAATAAGTAGATTGGACCACATATATTAGTCCTTGCCTAATTACTAGTGATCCATAGATTCTCTGAAGATTTCTTTTCAGAGAAGGAATCAAGATTTTCTTTTTTTTTATTGTCTAGTGACCAGTCTGTCGTCTTTATCTCTGGATAATCAGGAAATGAATACACTTCTACTGCTTTTGTCTTTGGTTGCTATGACTGGTTTGTTTGTTTGTTTATTATTATTTTTTAGTTTAATAATGCCATTACTTCAAGGACCTGGGACCTGGATTTTATTTGTGAGATTTTCTTAAGACCTAATTAAAACACTTTCACATGAAAGCAGGCATTTTAAACTAAAGCCAATCAAAAAGGAAGGTTTTTTTGTTTTGGTTTGGTTTTTTTTTTTTTCCTTCTGTAGGTCTTACTGTGTTCCTCTAATGAAGGTAAATTATTGGCTGAACAACAATTTTTATTTCCCTCCACCCCCCCAGGATTCTGTTTTCAAATTAAGTTCTTCCATAACTTACACCTTTTTAATACCATTTATACAGGATCTTGTTTCAATGAATTGTTAAATTATGCCATATAAATGAAATGGATAATGAATATGAAAAGGGGTTAAAAAAAAAAATCACCCAAGAAGCCTTGATTGGAACAGAGCACAAAGGCCACTCAGTTGATCTTTGCTAGAAGTGAGGGTGCGGAACCCCCCTGAAGCATGTGTGGAGGTCTAAGGGTAGTTACTCCCCACTCCCTTCTGTTGATGATACAAAACCCCCCTGTTACAACCTATTTATTGCTTCAAATTCCAGGTGAATGGTGGCTGCAGCCAACATTTCTTTGTAACTGATTAGACTGGAAACTGAAAGAAGTAACCCTTAGAATGATGAAAGAGTAAAATCAGTATTGCATAAAAGTTTTAACTGAAACTCTGTCAGCTAATGACAATATTGTGGGGAGAAGGTTCACTTCACTTTATAAAATACTTTCTGCTTAAGTCAGGCCTGTTGAGATTTCATTGGATGGAGATTGGTGCTGTATTAAGTAATCATTTAATGTAATCAGCTTCCTTTCACATTTGCGTAGTATTCATTCTGTGCCACCTAGCACACAATAGTCACCAAATATTGACTTGAGTCCGTGTTCATTTGATCAAGGCACTTACAAATTCTATGCTTTGTATTTTAAATACTTGATTTTTAGTGATTCTGGCCACTAGCATGAATTTAATCAGTGGAAGATTCTTGAGACCATGCTAGTAGACAGCTGCGTCCCAAAGTTGAACTGAATGCATCTTGCTTTTGTATGTCTGTTAGTTCACTTTCTCTGAATTATAAGTGGCAAAATACTTTGAAATATGTATTCCTTTTGTGATAACATTAAAAAAAAATCCATAATGCTAAGGTTGCTGGGGCTACTTAAAATTGTCTTTGGCAGTTGAAGACATGCTTTTATGTCTAGAATGTAGCTAGATTTTGCCTTATTTCTAGCCACACAACTCTGATGAAGTGATGTGAAATAAAGTTTTAAAGGAGAGGTCTTAACACAAACTCTAATATTAATTCACCTTTGTCAGGAACAGCATACTGGGCACTTGGGGGCAGAGTAGTGAAGCAGCATTAAATTCAAGACTTAGGTAGGAGCAGCAGTTCTTGATTCCCCCTCCGAAACTGCCACTTAATACTCTGTTTCTTTTTGTACACAGAGAGCGTGCGGGAGGAAGATCTAGATGCGGTGGAAGCGCAAATAGGTTGCAAACTCCCTGATGACTATCGATGTTCATTTCGTATTCATAATGGACAGAAGCTAGTTGTTCCTGGGTAAGGATCAAAAGCTACATACCAAGTTACTAATTTCTTTTGTATTTCTTGGATAGTTTATATATTAAAAAGATAAAATGTCTGCTGAACAGGATAAATTAAGCATTTAAATGTATTGTAGCTGAGTGACTGCTTGAAATGACACTTCTAGAATTGGCTATCTTCTAGTCTCAGAAGTAATTGAAAACACAGTGTAGATTTCTAATTGCTCAAATTACTCTTACACTTCAGTTCTTTTTCCTAGCAAGAACCCCCCCCTTTTTTTTTTGGTAATAACTAAAACTTCCAACTGTTAGGCTTTTAATCATACCACTGCAAGTTGCTCCCCTGAAGTTTTGCTTTGTATTACATAAGTAAATTAGCCTCTTGCACTCTTCAGGTTTCATTATTTAATAACTTTTTTCTTTAAAATGGTTAGGGAATAATTTTCAAACCAGGTAGTCGTTTTAAATAGAATCAAAATGTCAGTTCTGCAAACTAAGTTTTCTCAGTAGCAGATTTTACAATTTTATGCAGTTTCAGCAATTCAGAACTCCTTTTACATTAAGGTTAGAAGGCAAATGACCAAACATAGTTTCCTATCTCCCAGCTACAGAAGAAGTTAGCACGTCGGCACTTGATGAAGTGCCGCAAACATTAGCAAAAGATGGAAAGCTATGGCAAATCATTGCAGTGTCTGTAGGGGGCAATGCATTCACGTTGCTCTACCAAAACCTTCACTAGTAAAGAAGGTGCAGCTTTTTCCACTTCTAGTGTTGTATGTGCAGAAGGGATGTGGGAAACAGTTTTATGCAACCATAAGGATGAATTCTAGTTCTGTTTCTTTTCCAGGAGAGACTTTTTTTAGAGAGGAGATAGGTGCCCTAGTTCTGTAGACTTCAAATGGAGCTCTGCCGCTTGTGTGCTTCCTGCTCTTCCTACTACTTTTTCACTCCCATGAAGCCTCTACTGTGAAGATGTGCCTGTGGAAGGGCTGCAGGAGCGGACGTATGCCTTTGGGCATGCCTTTCAGCTTGAATAACTGCCAGTGGGCTGCGGTCCATTGCTGTGCCCTCGAAGTGAAGGCCTGAGCCTTGCACACAGGCTGACAAATGTTGGTGGAGCACTGACTGGGTGACAAGTTAGGTCTGACATGTGGGACCCTGGAGCAAGAAGGGCTGCCACACTGCAAGTGGAAGGTGCGGTCTTACTGTTGGGGGTAGGCTTGCTTTCTTGTGGGAGATGAATACTGGGAAGATCAGGTGTAGGTTAGTGGAAGTCTATGCAGCAAGTTGTTGGCATGTTAGATCAGAAATGGAGGAGATTTGGGACTAGCTGTCATTGTTAGAGTTTCAGGTTTCCATGTTTGGATGTTAGCATTGCTTTTTAAACTGTAGGACGTGCTAATTCCAGGCAAGACTATGTAAGGAAAGAGAGGAATGGAACTTGTTGCCCAAGATGGGAGCAGCTTATATCATGCTGACATGTGGCAGCTTGCACCTGAGTCACTGCTTTCATAACACCAGTAAAAGCTTAGCATCTGCAAGAGTCTGCATCTGAGAACATCATTGAAAGGCAAATTAGAAGGGAGTATGGGTGGGGAAGTGTACATTATAGGTTTGTGTACTCCTCTTATTGTGAAGCGCACTGCTGTAGTGTGTGCCCTTGTAGTTGATTAATTTGGTCATGTTACCCCTTTTTATCATTCTTCCATTGTTTGCCCCTTTATTACATTGAGTGTAGGTTGCTTGTTCTTTTTTTTTTTTTTACTTTCACCCTAGCTCTTACCTAGCCCAACATTCATATCAACATTAACTTTAGCTTCCGATGCTCACCTCTGTTCCTAATCTGTTACGTATTTCAGATTAGTACTACTTTTTTCCAAATATATATATTCTTTTCTTATGCATAGAGAGGCTCCTTTTACTGTCTTCAACGTCACTTCCTTATCGTCAAAAACAAATTAAAAAATCCCATCCTTTGCTGTGATGCATACAAAAAGCTAGAGGAAAAAATTAGACAGTTGATGGTCTTGCCGTGTCACGCTGATGCATATTGTCTCGTTCTTTCCTTGTATGTCTGTTTACTTGTGTCTGTATGCCTTAGTTTTTATACTGAGATTATAATTTCTCTGACTCAACAAGTTATTTTCCTTCTTTACTTCTCAACCTTTTTTCCAAAGCATCACTCCTTGCTGACTGGAGTTTTAATCAATGACTATTACTATAACAGCTTGGTATTACAATTGAAAAATCATGGATGTTTTGATAGTATTGAAATGAACTTGCACAAAACTCGAGATACAGAGCACTGGTTATTGTTATATTATGCTACTAGGGGAAGCTGCATCAGCTGTGAACAGCTTCTTTGAAGTAGTTGCAGACATGATGGGAATCACCAACATAGTTTAAAATGGTGCTTTCGGAGGCATAAAACATACAAGGAGGTGTTTATCTTAGAGCCATCTAGCCTCCCTTTGTGAAGGTTGATGTTGCAAACTAATAACCTACTTCAGCACCTGGACTTGGACTTCATCTAAGTCTAGTACGCATCTATAGCATTGACAGAATCTATGCTTAGAAAAGATTTAAAGCTATCTTTGCCTTATGAGTGGTATCTTCTGTTTATCTTTCCTTTTTTTGTTGTTGTCTGTTAAGTTTGATGGGAAGCATGGCACTGTCGAACCACTACCGCTCTGAAGACTTGTTGGATATCGACACAGCGGCTGGAGGTTTTCAGCAGAGGCTAGGTCTGAAGCAATGCCTTCCTCTTACTTTTTGCATTCATACTGGCCTGAGTCAATACATGGCCCTGGAGAGTGTGGAGGGACGAAATAAATATGAGATCTTCTATCAATGTCCAGTAAGGAATATACATTTATACTTGCAAATGTACTTTTCTAATGATTGATGGTGTCCCTTTGCATGTTATCAGATACCTGAAATATTTTACATAGCAGAAAGTGAATACTAAGGGATCATATTAGTTCGTTACTTGCCCCTCAGTTGCCATCTGGTTTTCATCAAAGCCCTTAAGTGGAATGGTTAGTAAGGGAAAGAAATTTACATGAAGTTGTTAATGGCTGTAGGTTCATGATGGCGGACAACATTCATCCTTGTTGGAAGGTATTAATTTGTTCAAACTATGGCAGGTATATACTCTTGTCCCTCTTTCTGTAAGGAAGAAAAGCTTCTCCGTTATGGAAGATCGGCATCTGTATATATCTCCTCCCCCAGATATGCTAAATGTAAACTTACTGCAATAAATGATACCCCCTGGTTTGTAAGCAAAACTTACTCTCCAGTGAAAGAACAAATTGCTCTTGAACACCTCCTTTGTAGAACGTAATTATTTGAGTATTTTTCATAATTCCTATAGCTGTAGTATTTTAGGATAGGCATATTGTTGCTAGTGAAGCTTAAGGATATTATACCTAACAAGATTTTAGCCCTCTCTCTCCTTACCTGTGCCCTGATGACTTCCTTACCTGTCCCCCCCGCCCCCAGCCTTCAAAAAAGGCAGGGTGAGTAAAGGGTGCTTCTTAGGGGGGACTCTTCATCCTGCTATGGAGTTCCTGACTGTTTGTTTTCAAAGCATGTAGCAATGAGATTTCTAGGGGATGCCTTGATAATGGATCACTTGAAGGATGTTAAGATCCCCCTTTGTATTATGCTGAGTATTTAAACCTTCTGGATAATGCTTGGGAACTTGGAAGGTTACTCACTTATATTTTTGCTCATCTGTGGACAGCCCTGCTTTTTTCAGGGGAGAATATGGTAGTATGGGAGCTGGGATTGTTTAGCCTAGAGAAGGCTCAGGGGAATCTTCTCAATGTTTATAAATACCTGGTAGCAGGGCATAAAGAGTCAGGGCTAGACTCTTCTCAGTGATGCCTGCCCAATGACAGAAGAAGCAGCAGTGGGCACAAGTTGAAACACAGGAAACTTGATCTAGACGTACAAAAAAATGTTTTTACTGTGAGTGTGGTTGAACACTGGAACAGGTTACCTGGAGAGGTCGTGTAGTGTCTGTTCTTGGAGACATTGAAAAACCCAACCGGATGTGATCCTGGGCAATGTGCTCTAGCTAACCCTCCCTCAAGCAGAGGGATTAGACTGATCGTCTCCAGAGCGCTCCTCCAACCTCAGCTGTCCTGTGCTTCTGTCCTAAGGCAATATTTTTGGGGGGCCTTGTTTCTTGAATGATGCATTAAATCTGATTTTATATGCATGAGCCTTAGTGAATGTTCACGCTGTATATTCAGTGATCATGTGAGCACTCATGGGGACAGGCATGTGCTTTTTATATGTTTGAATATCTGACTGGGAGTATAATGATGTATTAAGCAGCCAGATTTTAGGTTTAGAGAATACAGGGAAAGTGTTCCCTATGTTGTATTTCAGGTGTTCCAAGTTTAACCTTGAAAGTCTATGCTCTCCTAATACATCCATAAACTTCTTTCCCTTTTAGGACCAAATGGCTCGCAATCCATCTGCTATTGATATGTTCATTACAGGTAACGCTTTAGATAAAATATTCCGCAAAATGTTTTAACTGTGCTGTTTAGAAAATGCACGTCAGTATGACTTGAACAAAGCAAGCATTCTAAATTCTCTGTGCTGCTTGTAAGATTCTAACCTACTATAAAACATCAGTGGTTACTTGAAATGAGATGCAAGTTTTCGCTATTAAAGCTTGTCCTTCTGTGTGTCTTGTATACAAATCATTCAGTGTACTAACATGTCTAACAATGAGCAAAACCTTTTAAGTTAGCCATCATGGGGGTGATGTAAGCAGTTATTAAATACAACACCCAAGTGGACAGAAAGATTTTTTTTTTTTTTTTTTCCCCTCAGTAGTTTTTGCAACCATGTTAGAAGTTGAAAATATTTTGCATCCCTTAATGAAAATCTAATTAACTATAAAGATAGCTGCAGAAGAATACCTTTCTGGATTTTTGATTTGCCTGATTTCTTTGTTCAAAGGATAAAGGAGGGAAGGGGAAAACTGCATAACTGCTGTTTGGTTATGTAGTAATCTGTGATGATCATCTGCCTGACGTACATTCACTGGAATAGTGTTTTGATTATTTCTTTTTGTTAATCCACTGGAATCTGGTAATTGTGGCTATGTCTAAATTAATTCCTCTCACTCAGTGGGAAAGCAGATATGTAATAAATGGCACCAAAATAGTACTGAAATTTAGCCTTGTGCATTTCTTAGGATTTATGTATTAATATTACAGTGAGAAACCACAGTAGACAGTGCTATACCATTGCTGGTTTGAGTTGAAGGTAGTCAAACTCTTAGCCACGCTAATTTTAGGAAACCTTTCTATGTACTGACTGATTGTATGAACTGATTTCAATATGAAGTAGTCAACCTGTCATCTGTTTTACAAAGGTCTTATTGCAGAATGCATTGTATGCTTTAGAACCATCGTAGGAAAGATATAACAGAAGCTCAAGAGTTTGGTTACTTGCTTCTCTCCACCTGAGGAATATGTAATACTTTAAAGCTACTCTATGGTGAATTGGTATTGCTGCTGACGGTTGCTGCTTTTATGGATTTGAGTTAATGGTGAGGTGATCTGACATCATATTTAAATTTATTCCGCTTGGCTGAGAGGGTTAATCTTGGCTTATTGCAGGGTGGAGGGGAAGTTTCATATACAGCATTTATCTTGTCGTTTTGAAGGTGACAGGGTAAATTGGTCCACTTTCTCCATTCAGAGTTACTTTTATACGAGGTTTGCATTTCGTGGATTAGTGGTAGAAAGGAGGATAATAAACTTGGAGTTCCATAGACTTCCAAAAGATCAAAGGACAGTACACATAGCTCTTGCTCAAAGGAAGAAGTGGTAAGTACACTTAATCTAACAGGAGTGGTAGTATTTGATAACACATCAGTGAAGGTGAGGATAATGATTTCTTAGTATTCTAGCTTAAATCCAGTTTTGTATCAGTAATATTGACAAACAGTTGAAGAACTCTGTAGTTTTCTATTGAACTCTGTATTGCAATGCTTGGAAGATTTATGGCTGAGTAATTCATTTACGGAGAGCTGATATGTCTTGTATGAAACTCTCTTCTTTGAGAGTTAAATGTGACAGCTTGACTGTCTAATTAGAAATTGAGGTGTTCCTGAAGAATGGCTGTAGGTGTATGAAAAGCTGTTCTCAGACAATGGCTGTAAATGTCTGAAAATCCCAGGTTCTTCGGAACGACATACAGTCTTAGTCTTCTGGGTTGCTAGCAGGAGTGGGGAATATATCTATGGCTTATCCCTGTTTTTAAGGAGAGGGAAATTCTGCAACTTGCTAGCATGTTACTTAGAAACCGTATTCATACAGAAACCTGGATATCAAAACTAAGTCTATAAATCCACCAGCAGGCTTGCATGCCTCGCATAGGTAGAACAGCTGGGCATAGCTATACAAGTAGTATAGGCCACTATATTTGTCTTCTTTCCTAGTCGCAGCTGAACAGTCATGAGAAGGAAACCGGATGATGAGAGACACCAGCATTCGAAGACCATGACTATAATGTGAAATACTTAGCTAAGAGATTCTTTGTTTGCTGTGTTATTTCTGGAGTATGCACCCTTAACTCTTAGTTCTTGCTTGGTTTCTCCAAACGATCTTTGTTGGTAGAATGGACTGGAATATTGAGTGACTCATCTAAGCAAGCCCGAGAGTTTATATATTCAAAGCTTTAAACTGTTTCCTTGAAGTATTTATTGTAATGTGCTTAGTGGTAAATTTACCTGTCCTTATGAATACTTTTCTTTGGCATCTAGGTACATCTTACTTGGAGTGGTTTACATCCTATGTAAACAAAGTTGTAACTGGTGGTTATCCTATCATCAGAGACCAGATTTTCAGGTACTGTGACTGGGCTTTATAACCTCACTGCAAGGTTTTGATGCTTCTTCTAGAATGCTGACCTCTTTCCAAGTAGTTATGGGTATCTGATACAAAAGCTGATGGTGGAGAGACGAGAAAGCATGTGAAAGTTATTGAAGATAAAGCTGTAAAACAGAATGCTTAAAGAAACTTCTTTTTTTATACCAGAAGCTTCAGAGTTTGTAACTTTGCATTATCAGAACCAGAATTTGTGTCAAAACTGATCTGAAGTTTAGCTAACAGCATAATATATATTCTGCTTGCCGTGAGTGTGCTGCTGCTGCAGGACTGTTCCAAGTTATTGAAAAAGCAATTGTTTCACCAAACTGGTCTCTAAAATAACACTGTTGAATATGTAAATAAACAGGACTTGTTCTGGTGTTTGAATCTTCATGCACTTTTAATTTCTTCTAAATATAAGCAAGAGCCTTAATTCTTTCAAACTCAGATGCTATAGAACCAAGTTCCTGATCTGTAAATTAATTTGCCATAGAAGTTTCTAGGTTTTGTTTTTTAAATAGCATAATGACACATCCTTATTAAACAAGTGTGTTTTCATTGACTTCAGATGAAATTATACGCTTAGCTTAATACAAGCATTAACGGAGGTACGAAGAGATCCGCAGCTGTATGAATTTTGGTGATGGGAAAGTATACATCGTGAAGACACTGCATACATACATCCTTTATTTAACTGCCAAATGAGAAGTTAAGAATTACTTTTAATCTAGCACCACAGTGCTCTTATTAGTAATTAACTAATCACTTTACATGTTTAGTTTTCTGTTTTGAATGTACAGAGCTATTTGCAGCATTGATGTTTTCCTTTCTGTAGGTATGTGCATGATAAAGAATGTGTTGCTACCACAGGAGATATTACTGTTTCTGTGTCCACATCTTTTCTACCTGAACTCAGTTCTGTACATCCACCACATTATTTCTTCACTTACAGAATCAGGTAAAAATAACAACTGAATTAACTTGTATAACACAGGAGAGACCTATGTAACGTTCAAAGCATCAGTTGTTGCAAACTTATGCACAGCATTCAAAAATGTTCTAAAATGAATAGGATGTGTACAACATGCTGTACTTATTAAAAAAAAAAATACTAAATCATTACCTGATCAGGGTCGCAAAGTACTAGTCAAGTTGGTAATTGATAAAGTACAGTGACGGGTGGGGAAAAGAAGTTACAAGTAGCTCTTGTGATTTAGAAAGGGGTAAATAATGATAGATAGTGAAGCAGAGGCATGGGCATGAATCCCAACAGCTGATTCAGTATTCTTTGCCTTAGGGGTTAGGGGTTTTTTGCCCAGTCTACTTGGAGAGAGATCCCAAGGATACTAAAGTATTTCTTAAAATGTATGAAAGTAGTTACGTAACCATTAAGTATGCTGTTTGGCTTCTAGAATTGAAATGTCCAAAGATGCTCTTCCTGAGAAGGCTTGTCAGCTGGACAGTCGATACTGGAGAATAACAAATGCCAAAGGTGATGTAGAAGAAGTTCAGGGTCCTGGAGTAGTTGGTAAGTAAAAGATTGCTTTTACGAACCCAACAGAGAGAGTGTTTCTGTATTTAACGTACATGTTACAAAAGTTACGTCACTAGCCGTTTATCATGGTGACGGAGGGTAATAGTTGTATGGTTTGTATGAAAATCATTTTGTTGCTTGAAAGAAAGGGATGTGTATCCACCTGTTTTGTCTTTAAGGTTGTTTCACAAGGGATGTCTGAACATCCTGATAGTTAACCACTCTTCAGACAATTTTTTAGCATCAGTAATTGCTGAGAATCATTTATGCATCCACCGGAATATAAAATCATCTGCCTGAATATGTTGTGGAGTGCAAGTGCTTTAGCAAACTGCTCAATTGTATTTCTACCTCAGTCCTTACTATTGTGATCTAATGTTTTACCAACAGGGGAGTTTCCAATTATCAGTCCAGGGAGAGTCTATGAATATACCAGCTGTACTACGTTTTCCACAACATCTGGATATATGGAGGGGTATTACACCTTCCACTGCCTCTACTACAAGGACAAATTCTTTAATGTCACAATTCCCAGATTTCATATGGTGTGTCCAACATTCAAGGTGTCTACAGCACGAATGGTAAGCAGAGATGTAGTTGTGCTTATCCTAGACTTTTTTCCCCCCATCCTCCTGTTTTCCAAGAACGCTTGGATTAATTTTAATAGGACAGTGTAACTGTGTTGAAACGTCAATGTCACATCATTTTTCAGTTTTCATTCTTTTCTTGAAAATCACTTTTTTATCAGAAACGTTTCTCAAAAAAACCCACCCCACACTTGTCTGTTTTAGCTATAATAGCGTATCTACGTTCTTCAACATGAAAAGTTTCAGTTAATGACAACTTAAAAAAGATAGCAGTCCATACGATGTTCATTAGTTCTCACTGAAGGTTCATTTCATCAAGTCACTTAATGACTTTGCAAATCAGTAAGATATTTAGCTTGCTGTTAATTATAATGTAGTTTTAGTTTGGAGATTGCAGGTTAACTATATAATTTATCCCTTTGGCACATTTAGAGAAGAATGCTTTATTTATTTTATCACTAGCATAGCCCTTATTTAGTGACTAATTTAGATAGAACTTGGAAGTTTTTGTGCAAGCACTGAGTCTTTCCCTGGGGGTAGACATCTACTTGTAAACTTTCTCATGTTTTCCCAGGGATTTGAGATGCTCGTTAGCAGTAGCTCTAACAGTAAGTGCCAGCAGATGTCATGCTTCTAACAGAAAATGGCATCTCTTAACTCCTGCTCACATTTATGGGAGTTGTAACCTCCTTCCATTCAGTTGACTGTAAAAATAATTTGCTTTTCTCTTTTGCTCTACCTCTGATTTTAAAGGTAGTAACGACCGTTTGTTTTTCAACTGCTTTTAATAAAAGACATCATAACCAACCAAGAAAATTGGTACAGCTAAGATACTGAATTGTGGCTCTACGTAGTGGTACATATGAAATAATGAAGGTTAATGAATATTTACTGAGTTAAAGATCAAGTAGTTTGGCAAGATGATCTCTATTGCACATTAAACTTCGTCATTGTAAGGAGCTGATTTTAGGACATAGAGTACAATGTCTGTTTCAGCTAATTGACGTGGTAATACAGACTTCAGATTTTTCTAGGTAATTGTTAGTGCTTGCTTATAACTGGAACAGATTTTAATTAAATATGGATGTGTTTTGTGTTAGGAAACAAATCACAATGAATATGCAGTGGATGAAGACGAAGATTCCACAGACACTGATGAATACGAAGATCGACGTAGAGTGTTGGACATTCCTGCACCTTCTGGACGCTGCCCGCGTCATACCTGATGGGATTTTCTTCAAAACAAAATAAACTGTTTTCAGAAGCTGAACTCTTTGGGGCTAGTGCATAAGAATATTTCTGACTCTTGTAAATGAACTTTCTGTTGCACATCAGGGCAACTAGCATGAATGTTGGTGCCAGTTCTAATATTCATCAGAGTATAACTTTTTTTTTTTCCAGGTTTGGAAGTGGGGAGGGTGCTGGGGGGTGCTGGGGGGAGGGAGAGGAAGAGGAAGAGAAAGGTGTTTGGGCTTTGTTCACTTTTTTCCAAAGTGCGGAACAGCTTGTTAGTTCGAGGTAATCATATCTTACATTTTTAAACTATTGCCTATTTATGATCATATTGCAAATATGGTGTGGGGATTTGTTTTTATATGAGCATTTAAAATTAGCAATAGACAAGATGGCATAAAAGGTGTATACTGTTGTCCTTTCTCATGAGTTTCTACTCTTGATAACTCCTGCTAAGAATGAAACTTGCAGTTTGGTCTGTGGATGCCATTTGGGTGAGATCAGGTGCTCTTATGCTCTTTTTTTTTTTTTTTAATTAACATAGAAGTACCAGAAAATTCTGGTCATCACATGCATAAATTGGAAATGAAACTGGCCTTATTTTTAGACAATCTGTCTTTCAGCTTAATTTTATGCTAAGTGACTCTGATTGGATAATGCCTTTTGGAATGTAGTGTACCTGCGTAATCTGCCACTCGGTAACCAAGAAATTTCTCAATGACTACGAAGTATGAATTTGTAAATATATTTTGAGTTTTTTCTTTATATGATATTTGCTGTTCAGACTTTGTCATAGGTGACAAATTTATGTTGAAGTATCATGTTTCCCTAAATCCTCTATGGATTTTTGTAACTACGCCTGAATAAAAAAAGAAAAGAAAAAAAAGGAGGGGGGGGGGGATGGGGGGGGACGACCCTGACAGAACACCAGATGACTAGAAAGTTTATATTTAAAGAGGTATCTGTTTGCTTTATCACTTTTATTTTGTTTTCATTGTCATTAATAAACAACTGCCTCCTTTGCTCCAAAGTGCTACATGGGACTCTTCTTGCCAAGACTTGAGCAATAATTGTGTGAGTAGCATCGCTGTAGTCAGTTCCTTTTTTTGACATCCAGAATTAGTAGCTCCTGTGAGGAACAGCAGTATATTGTGGTTCCAACTGAATTTTTCCATTATTGACTAGTGACTCCTCATACAGAAAGCCTGTTTTTTTACAAGTCATAGTATTAGATTCTCCATCTGCTCACCTTTTTCTAGTGCCACGTAGCATTTGGATCTTCCACAGTGGTACAAGGTAGAAAACCAAATATTGAGTACGATCCCTCCAACAGTCGTTCAGGTGAAACATCTAGAGAAGCAAAAAAAATTGTGTTGTCCCTCACAGAAGTCTGAACAGCAGTGTGATTTGCTGGAGTGGTTTAAAAATGTTTCTGTTCTGAGGATTCCTCAGTATTAACTGTGAGGGGAAAATGTGATGTTTGCGGCATAAAGCTTTTTCTTCACCAAAATTTCATCATCTGTTAAAAGGATCAGTGAAAAAAGGATTTAGTGGAACAAACTTACTCCAGTGCTGTAAGTCTTGTGTGTTTTTAAGGACATATAACTCGTGGCTAGGAGGCTTGCTCGGTGCTTTATCAGGATCTGTATGTTCTAGTTAAGTGATACCGGCTGAAGGTCATAAGGCTCTACAGGAACACTCCTGACTCTCGGTGCTTTTCCTCTTCTGGGGGAGTGGTTCTCTCCTGGGTTTTTAAAGAGGAACTATGATCATTGCTCACTGTAGAAGAAGCCAAGATGTAGGACAACGCTGTTGTGTCAGCTGCTGAGCACCGCGATGTGAGGGTTTGAGGCCTCTGATCCAAGCACAACCAGCGGTCAGAGGACTCCTGTGAACGGTGCATGTATGAAGCGAGAAGGTAAGCAGGTAGGGGGAATGATGTTGCTGTTTTCGTACAAACACATACGTGTTTTGTAACAAGAAAAAGGTTATTCCATTGCTTCAGGCGGCTATTTTGGCATGTGGCACTTTGCCTAAAAGCTACCAGATGCTTCCTACATCTGGTTCCTGCAAGCGTTGTTAACTCTTCATTATGTGCGTTTGAAGTAGGGCTTATGCCAGTGGTTCTCCTCACCCTACCCCAAACTCCGAAGGTTATGCCAGATAGGTATGAAAAGCGAAGCGGCTGAGCCCAGTGAAGAAAACAAGGCATCGGTTCTGTTTGCCAGCATTGCTGAGCTGTAGAAATCTTCACTGAGAAAGCGGGAGAGAATTGGCTCGAGGTCCCGCTTCAGAAGACAGCACTTCACCAGCGCTCTGACTGATCCAGCGAGCAAGTGTTGGTGTTTAGCAGACCCAACTGCTAAATCCTTCCTATGGTGGTTATAATCTGTGCAATATGCGCGCACAGGTTATAACATATATATGTCCTTCGCTTTGGCCGCCATCCATCAGGTTCAGCCTGAAGTTCTGTCAGCTTCTCCTGACGCGGATCCTTGACGGATGCTTGCTTAGGACGAGGTAAAATAAGTCTTGTTGAACATCTGTGGTGAAAAGCCTAGCACATCCAACGCAAATCTGTAACTGATCTGGTCCTTTTTTGGTACGTGGAAGAGGCCTACGCTGACAGTCTCTTTGTAATTGTGCTGGAGGATTCCTTCAGCATTTTTTGTGGGCTTTTGCTGATGTAAGAGACTGTTGGCTGGAAGTGTTTGTCTTGACGTTGCTGCTGCGAAGACCCTCAACATCCTGTTGCCGTGGGGCAGTACGCGCAAAATGTCCCTGAAGAAACCACCATATCTGCCTGAAGCTAGCAGTGCCTACCAAGCTGCGCTTGCCCACGAGCAAGGTGAAGAAACCACCGTGAACACCTGGGCACGCGCCCATGGAGGAACACGGGGCGGCACGTATGGTAATGAGCTCCGTGGAAATGGGTGTACTTTTCGGAGAAATCATGGGGACCGGGACAATAAAAGAACTGCGTACTCCTCTCTCAAAAAACTGAAAAAGCACCTGAAAAGCAACTGCAACTGGAAAGCAACAGAGGAAAACCTGCAGCGCTTGGGACTGGGACTTTGGCTGGAACCTGGAACCTGGACCCTCCATCACCTGCATCGGGACCGAGTCAACGGGACGTTGCTGGCTTCGTGGTGGTGGGGGTAACTAGTCTTGCTGCATCTCTTCCGTTTTCTTGCTTAGGTCTTCCTCTTTTTCCTTTCTTCTTCCCTCTGTCCTGTCGCTATTATCAGTTGTTATAGGAAATAAAACTTGTAAGGTTGTACGGCATCTGACCTTGTTTGTGTCTTAATCTCGCTCTTGGGATTGTTTAAGAACGCTCCCCGATACCGGATCGGGACACTGGTTTAGTGGAGAGAACCTTTGGCCACCATTTCCTTGCTGTGACTCTGTTTTGGGTTTGCGTGGTGGGGTTTTGGTAGCGGGGGGGGGTTGCAGGGGTGGCTCCTGTGAGAAGCTGCCCACTCGGGCAGCAGACTGCATAATGCGAGAAAAAAACAAGTGGTGTGCCAGCCAGTGGGGGGGGGGGGGGGGGGGGGACAAAAAAAAATACTGCTGGGGA